TGACGAATTCTTCCCTTAGGGGAAGATTGAACCCATCTGGGGATGCGTATTTTATTGAGAGTTGCATAACTCTCGAGGAATTCTTGCTATCTTTGTAGGAGTTGGCTTGGTAAGGATTGGTCCCAACCCAGATCATGAAGCCAGATCTCTTGCATGAAGATCTTAGCACGGACCACGACTGGAGCTAACCACCCCGCTGGCTCGAACAGCTTGGTGATTTGGGATAGCACTTCACGTTTTGTGTAGGATTGCTTAACTTTGATGTCGGAGGGGGCGAAGAGCAACTCGTCAGTGTCTGCTTTCCAGCGTATACCGAGAGTCTTCGCAAGGCTAGCTTCTTCAATTTCCAAGAAATCGACTCGGAGTAGATGCTCCCTTGAAAAATTGATGAGCACAGCCTTGTCGTTGGAGGTCCATTTGCGCAATAGAAATCCAGCAGTACCCAGAGCCGTGCGTAGCTCGTCGATGGCTCGGACGGTACCAATTTTAGTATGTGCCCCGGCAAGCACGTCGTCGACGTACACAAAATTGGAAATGACGTCGCCCGCCAAAGGATATTGTGAGCGAACGTCAGTGGACAGCTGCTGCAGGACCCGTATTGCCAGGAAGGGAGCATAGTTGACTCCAAAAGCGACAGTGTTCAGCTCGTAATCACAGAGCTCACCCTTACTGTTCTGGTAGAGGACTCTTTGGAATGGGGTGTGGTCTGGGTCAACGCGGATTTGGCGATAAATTTTGGTAATATCGGCGTTGAACACATACCGGAAGAAACGCCATTTCAAGATCTGGATGGTTAAATCTGATTGCAGAACTGGTCCTGTGTGGAGGACATCGTTCAGACTTTTGCTATTTGAGGAAGGGCTGGAGGCGTTGAACACAACGCGAATCTTTGTGGCGATGCTGTCTGGTTTGAAGATAGCGTGATGAGGGAGATAGAAGTTATTGGAGTCGTTGCTTATCCAAGTCCAGGTAATCCTTGATCACGGAGTCGAACTGCTCTTTTAGAGGAGGGTTTCTCATTAAACGACCTTCGTTTCTCAGAAACTGAAAAAGTGCTATGAACCTTGAATGTTCCAAGTTTATGTGATCAGGATTCTTGTAGGGCAACGTAACTATGTATCTGCCAGTCTCATTCCTTTGGGTGGTGCGAGTAAAGTTACTTTCGTATATGGAGTCTGACTCTTTTGCCAGTTTGGCTAGCAGATCTTCCACCTCCCAGAACTTTGTGAGAATATCGTCTAAAAGCAGTTCGGGGCTGAGTGAAATCCTTGTGGAAAATGACGAAATTCTCGCGGCATTCGACTTAACTACTGGGCCAGTCAGGACCCAGCCAAAAATGGTCTCAATACCCAGTAGCGAACCGCATATGTTGGATTGCGTGCCGCCGAGGAGGATTGATGAGAGCTGTCAAGCAACCTGTAGGTCTTTAATAGCAGCTCCTTATTCCTGCGAAACTGACTGGAGATTAAAGAGCACGTGAAGTTGACTATTAACTAACAGCCTTTTGTTCTCAAATCTGTCAGTTAAGTCGCTCCACGTAGATGCGAACCAATCATTTGTGAGAGGAGACTTGGACACGATTGCCTTCGCTTCCCCGCCTGTCTTTGAGTTGAGGTGAAATAGTTTTTCGACCTCAGTTAACCGTGGATTGTTTATATAGACAGCTGTGAAAAGGTCTCGGAAAGTGGGCCTTTTCAAATAATCCCCATAAAAAATGTCAATCTCCACGAGAGGGAGACTGTGTGTTTTAAACGTGATGTCAGCATGTAGGTTTAGCAACAACAATTTTTTATGTACATATGTATGTGTTGTAAGCGCAGTGACTCACTGCCAGTGAGAGATTTATTGGGGATTCGAGTGCTCGCTTGTGCCTTATATATATTAAAATTTACATCCTGGCGATAATGACAATGTTGCCAATAACTGAATATCAGAACGATAACTGTACATTTACATTTTTTGCGTTTTCCTGGGATGCCAAAGAATAAGATCGAATAACAGAGAAACTAGATTTCATACTCGTATTAGTGAGTCGACTGGTAAATAAAATACGAGTCGATTGTTTTGCTTTTTTCACATACGCTCTGTGTAAACTAAAGTGACGTCAAATATCTTGCAATTAATTATGAGTTTATACACCTCAATAAAGCATTTATATATGCACATAGACATCGGTACAGGAAATGCTTGGCATGCATGCTAGCAAAAGTTTTTTGACTAAAGATTGTGAAAGTTCTGTTAAAAAGAAACAAAAAGTGAATGGTATGGCGGCCTACACAGATTCACTTAACGTCGGTGTATCAAAAAATACCAAACTTTTTTTTAAGTACCATGAACTTAAATTTAATTTGCTAAAATTAAATCATTTGTGAGAGGAGACTTGGACACGATTGCCTTCGCTTCCCCGCCTGTCTTTGAGTTGAGGTGAAATAGTTTTTCGACCTCAGTTAACCGTGGATTGGTTATATAGACAGCTGTGAAAAGGTCTCGGAAAGTGGGCCATTTCAAATAATCCCCATAAAAAATGTCAATCTCCACGAGAGGGAGACTGCAGCCTCTTGGCTGTTGACTGGGCGGATAAAATTACCAGACATATTCGCCTGCATAGCATGTGTGGTCGATGTTTGATCCTGTGCGGAGTCATGCGGTGGTGGTAACGCTCGAGTGTTGGAAACGGCAAAAATCTATGGAACAGTGAGGGGTGCGAACGACTGCATACTCTGCATTTGTTTGCCTTACATCTGGCAACAGTTTACACCTTCCGAAGGCAATTGATGCATAAAGGAGTCGCCTTAGCGAAATCAAACCGCTGCTGGACTGATAATGCGGCTATGCTTAGCAATTCAGTATCGCATGGCCTTCGGAACCGCAATATAAACATTTAAGGGTCCCCTGATCGTTTCTTTCACTAGCCACAGAACACGAAATCGAACCTCGATTATTGTTTTCGGAGAAAGTCTTTGACTCTGGCTTGGACAAAAATTGGGCTGATTCTTTAGCAGAATTGTCTTGATACCTACGATTCAAGGCTGTTTCACTCCATACTGGAATGATTGCATAATCGAGTTGGTCCTCCCATTTTCATCTGGTCATTGGGTCAACTTTGTTCGAAACGAGGTGAATGAGGATCGTGTTAGAAATCTTTCTGTCATCACCTATTGACAGGAGCTAGCCAATTATGGCGGAGACAGTATCAATCATTGATCTCAATGGATCCGTTTTTTTCGGAGGCTAATGAGAGCAGAAATATTTTCATTGAATATTAGACATTCTTTGTCGTATAATCACTTAGGCTGTCTAATGCTTTGAAATATTTGTCATCGGTGACTTGAAAAGCTCTAACAGTGCCTAGAGCTTCACCAGATAGACATGAGAACAGATGATTGCATTTGCAGGTCTTAATGACTATATAACGGACTTTAAATGAGCTTTTGTTGTTATACAATGTTCTTTAAGCTCGGCACGATAATCATCATCTGGGTCAAAAGTTTCTACTCGAGTCAGAGATTTTAAACGCTGTATCTAAATGTGAGACCATCATTTCTAATCTACATTCTAACTCTGAAGATTCTTGGTTTAATTTACTCTTTATTATTGGATCATTTAAACGCATTATGCATTTAATGGACATATTGCGATTCTTTTTTGAATCGTCAAAACTTCCTAGAGTTGCCATACTTGACTCTAAATTCAATTAAATAATTATTAATTTAAATTAAAAATCAAATTTACTTTTTATAACAACTATATCAAATTATTCTTAAACGTGCACGCTCTATATGACGAGAGACCTCATAAAAGTGATATGCCTGGTCAATAATGAGTATAGGAGCGAGCGTCTCTTGACCGAAACACACAAACGAGTGTTTACAACAAAAAATGCACTGCCACTTTTTAGCACAAAGCAGTACGAAAATAAGCGGACGTCAACTGGTTTGCTATGCACGTGTACGTATGTGTGCAACTGTATAATTTGCAGTCGTTGCGAGTGAAGGAAATAGGGAGAAACGACAAGGATTAAGCGAAATAAAATTGTAATGACAATCAATTTTTAACACATAATTAGACAATCGCTCAGAAGCATAACAGATAGCACAAATATTTCAAGGAAGTATTAAATGAGAATTATTCCCAGCCGACGCGATTTATTTGAGCTACATATATCGCTCAGAAGCATTACAGATAGCACAAATATTTCAAGGAAGTATCATATGAGAATTATTCCCAGCCGACGCGTTTATTTGATTTTTTAATTTAATTAACTCGCGAGCCACAGCTTGTTGCACTTTAACCACTTGAGTTAAAACTGTCCCCCTGGGGGTGCCATGAAAATTTATATGAGTTCATATAAATATAAATGAATATTGGTGGCGCTAAAATACTCGAAAATTATGCGCTTCGGGCTGAATGATTTTGTTATAAACGACAACTGACCACTATCAACTTCTTAAGTCTTAAATTAAGCTGTGGCGGCGAAGCGGGGAGAATTCGGTCCCACATCAAGTGACTGAGCTTTATTGCGCTCTCGCTCCACCCTAAACCTAACCTAAACTTGAATTTAAAAGTTGTATCCATTTTATTATTAAATGCGCAGATCTGCGCCAATACATATCTAACCTCCCTGAACAAACAACTTTTTCACTGCATGAGCAAAAACAGTTATAATAAGTTCTTCAATTTATTTTAACACAGATCAAAAAACTTTTTTAAGAGCAAAATAATCAAGTTTATTGCAAAAACTGAATATCCAAAATTTGCTTTAATTTCACGAAACTGCGTTTCTATTACTTAACAGCCTAAATTTTGTATAGGACTTGAACTCACATCCACTGATTTTTGGATGTGGATGTAAACGCAGTGCCAATAGAAACGTACATGTCGTATAGGATGGGTATGATAATGTTGGAACCCTATAACCACAAGAATCTTTGTGTTATAAACGTGACGTCAGCATGTAGGTTTAGCAACAACAATTTTTTATGTACATATGTATGTGTTGCAAGCGCAGTGACTCACTGCCAGTGAGAGATTTATTGGGGATTCGAGTGCTCGCTTGTGCCTTATATATATTAAAATTTACATCCTGGCGATAATGACAATGCTGCCAATAACTGAATATCAGAACGATAACTGTACATTTACATTTTTTGCGTTTTCCTGGGATGCCAAAGAATAAGATCGAATAACAGAGAAACTAGATTTCATACTCGTATTAGTGAGTCGACTGGTAAATAAAATACGAGTCGATTGTTTTGCTTTTTTCACATACGCTCTGTGTAAACTAAAGTGACGTCAAATATCTTGCAATTAATTATGAGTTTATACACCTCAATAAAGCATTTATATATGCACATAGACATCGGTACAGGAAATGCTTGGCATGCATGCTAGCAAAAGTTTTTTGACTAAAGATTGTGAAAGTTCTGTTAAAAAGAAACATACCAGCAAAATATTTTGACAAAGATTGTGAAAGTTCTGTTGAAAACATTTTAAAGTGAACCAAACGCAAATACATATAAAATAGGCAGAACAAAATTGTTAAGCCAGATGTACTATCTTGTCGCGTACAGTTAGCAATTATAGCAGCCGAAAGGCTGCAACAAACAAATTTTATGATCATACTATAAATAACTATATCAAAAGCAGCAAAGCTAGCTAAATAACCAACATTAGGACCAGCATCATACACCACTCAAAAATTATAGCCCATGTTTAAAAAACCGATATACATTCTAGTCAAACCGAACTTCACTATAGTGGCACTTTATAGCTGTCAGTACACTTTTGACCACTTAGGCAAATCAACAGTCTGTGAATTTAAGTCTGGAATGAAATTCGAAATGCAAACGAATTTTAACATAAAAGTTACATAATCATCTTAAGCAGTGCTGCTTTTGCAGAGATTCTATAAATTGGTTCTGAAATGGTAAAAGGTAACACTGGGACACTTACAATGCGTCTCGTCAGAAGTAAATTTCGCAAACGCGATGAGCCCCATAGTGAATCGAATATTATCGAAACCAACGAGCACCACGACAATGAAGATCATCAACAGCCTTCAAAGAATTTGGAAGTTTCTGAGGCAAAGACCGCGAAAACTTTTGCTAAAGACAGCCAGCATGTAACGTTCTTACGAACTAGCGGTGCCAATGCAGAAGTTGTTCGACATGCAGATGTGGCCGATATTCCGGATTGGACGTTTCCTCCGAAAGCGCCAGCTCCGCATATCTATCATATAAACCAGGTACGTTTACCGTATATTTCTATAAATAAATATGTTTTTATATATCTATGCACATATGTCGTTACAGATGTACATGTAATATGTGTAATTATATAGACAGATTTACATATATACAAATTTATATTAAATTTATAATCATATTAATATACACGGACAAATATCTGAATGTTAAAAAATTTATTCATTCTGTTTAACCCATCACCAAATATGACTCAAAAAATAAGTGTACAAGTACGTAACACATACATATGTACTACATAGCTTATTTTTATTGGATGCATGTACATATTAAAGATAACTTATAGTTCTCTATTAAAGGTCGTTTCGATTGCACGGCCAAAAGTGAATGGTATGGCGGCCTACACAGATTTACTTAACGTTGGTGTATCAAAAAATACCATTTTTTTTTTAATGTACCATGAACTTAAATTTAATTTGCTAAAAAATCAATTTTTTTTAAATGTCCCTCATTGAAATGAAGGCTGCTGACCCAAATTCTGAATGCAGTTCACGGATGAATTCCAAAACACATTGTACATATGTATATGGACGTACTCATGCATGCATAATTCACACATGCAAACATAGGATCTTGCACGCTATTGGCTGAGACAGCGAATTCTTGCCAGCATACACTGTACAAAAATAAAAGTAGAGTTAATATACGTGGGCTATTGTATGAGATAGTTATGGTACAATGTGATAAAAATGTATTATTTCTAAATTTGTCTTTTCAATTTAGAAATAGTATCTAAGGTAATATATCATTTATTCATAGCGTGCATATCATGGATTAAAAGCACTTAGCGTCGCTCGTAAGTATGCAACCTTTCGCTCAATGTACCTCGAAAATGAAACGACGCGGAGCATCATCGACCAGATGTGCTGCAGGCAGGCTTCGTGACAGCATCAACATCTGGCTATTGGAGAGCGAAAAGCCAGTCGGCTGGCGTGTCGTTTTAAGCAAGATGAAAATCCAGGCTAGAAAGTTCGCGTCGTATACAAATGTATGGGCGTTACTCATCTTAGTGTTTATATTGTCGTTGACTAGAGCGACTATGCTATTGATGCTGATCAAGCATATATATTCTGAGTCGATCTATATATATGAACGCGTCGATCTCAGAACCTGTAAGAGCTAGAGTTTCGACATTTTAACGTAGGTCCTTCTATTACCTGCACAGTACGAGTTTGTTTCCGTTGGCCGATAACTTGCTTCTGTCACAAAATTTCACATGTGGCTGCTATAATAGCATAAACAGAACAAGTATCTTACAGTTTTAAAACTATCTACACATCATATATATTTATTTATTGGCGTAATATCGATTAAAACTCTATTATGTCCTATTGTTGGCGCAGATTTGCACATTCAATAGTAATTGATTCAAAAATTGGTTTAGCGAAAGCACAATAAGGCTTTGTCGAATTTGCCCCGCTTCGCCACCGTAGCTTAATTTGACCTTAAGAAGTTTATAATCAGTTGTCGAATTACACGAAACCTATCAGCAAGAAACGCACAGAATCTTTCTCTTTTAAAATAAATTCAGTTTGTGAACTATATAAAATCATATAATTATTCATTGCGCCCCCCGGTTGAACTCTTTTAAAAGTTAATAAACAAAAGAAAAGAAAATCAAGTAGTTAACAGTTTAACTAGTTGTGGCTCGCGAGTTAGTTAATTGATAATTAAAATAAAATCGCGTAGGCCGGGAAGCACTCAATCCATTCTTTTGCCATCGTTGGACAATGCCAAGGAAAAGTGGAACATCCGGAACAACAGATGCTGTGCTGAAAATTGAAAGCCCAAACTAAATTTGTTTGGTTGCGCTAATGAAGCCGATGCTTTCAATTCTTGGCACATATGTAAACTTGTTGAGCATGATTGTGAATAGGTTTAAAGCAAATCGGACACAACTTAAAACTTCGCCCAAAAAATCTTTAAATCGCATTCCCCCCGAAGAAGTTTGAATTCTGCGAAAAGTGTGAAACACGTATCAAATGATTTTTCTTATAGATCTCTTGAAATGAATTTGAGCGCGAAACGTCACCCACCAAATCTTTGACCTCCATTTCCACCAAGGAGGAACGTTTTTTTCGAAAAGTGTGAAACACCCTTTAAATGAATTTGAACAAAGATCTTTCAAAATAAGTTTGGGGCCGATCGGATGGTAAACAAAAAACTTTGATACAACCGTTTTCCGCCAATTTACCACTGTTGCGGGTGGAATTTCCCAAATCGCTGAAATACGTATTTATTAAGTTCTTATGTAGAGCTTTGAAAATAAGTTTAAAGCAAATCGGACACAACTTAAAACTTCGCCCAAAAAATCTTTAAATCGCATTCCCCCCGAAGAAGTTTGAATTCTGCGAAAAGTGTGAAACACGTATCAAATGATTTTTCTTATAGATCTCTGGAAATGAATTTGAGCGCGAAACGTCACCCACCAAATCTTTGACCTCCATTTCCACCAAGGAAGAACGTATTTTTCGAAAAGTGTGAAACACCCCTTAAATGAATTTGAACAAAGATCTTTCAAAATAAGTTTGGGGCCGATCGGATGGTAAACAAAAAACTTTCATACCACCGTTTTCCGCCAATTTACCACTGTTGCGGGTGGAATTTCCCAAATCGCTGAAATACGTATTTATTAAGTTCTTATGTAGAGCTTTGAAAATAAGTTTGAAGCAAATCAGACACAACTTAAAACTTCGCCCAAAAAATTTTTAAATCGCATTCCCCCCGAAGAAGTTTGAATTCTGCGAAAAGTGTGAAACACGTATCAAATGATTTTTCTTATAGATCTCTGGAAATGAATTAGAGCGCGAAACGTCACCCACCAAATCTTTGACCTCCATTTCCACCAAGGAAGAACGTATTTTTCGAAAAGTGTGAAACACCCCTCAAATGAATTTGAACAAAGATCTTTGAAAATAAGTTTGAGGCCGATCCGATGGTAAACAAAAAAATTTCATACAACCGTTTTCCGCCAATTTACCACTGTTGCGGGTGGAATTTCCCAAATCGCTGAAATACGTATTTATTAAGTTTTTATGTAGAGCTTTGAAAATAAGTTTGAAGCAAATCGGACACAACTTAAAACTTCGCCCAAAAAATTTTTAAATCGCATTCCCCCCGAAGAAGTTTGAATTCTGCGAAAAGTGTGAGAAACGTATCAAATGATTTTTCTTATAGATCTCTGGAAATGAATTTGAGCGCGAAACGTCACCCACCAAATCTTTGACCTCCATTTCCACCAAGGAGGAACGTATTTTTCGAAAAGTGTGAAACACCCCTCAAATGAATTTGAACAAAGATCTTTGAAAATAAGTTTGAGGCCGATCCGATGGTAAACAAAAAAGTTACATACAAACGTTTTTCGCGATTTTTCCACACTTGCGGGTGGAATTTCCCGAAACCCCGTATTAACGTGCACCTACATCACATAAGGTAGCTACAGTGAAAATTTCAGCTTCCTAGCTCATACGGTTTGGGCTGTGAGTTGATCACCAATCAGTCAGTCAGTCAGTCAGGACAAACAGTTTTATATATAGAGATATAATATTTGAGCGATCTGTAGTGCTTCTGAGCGAGTATTTAATTAGTTGTCAAAATTAATTGTTTAGTTTTTGTCGTTTCTCCCTCTTGCCTTCACTCGCAACCATTGTAAATTAAAAAGTTGTCCAAGACCAACCGTTTGTATATAAGTGCAGTACACGCATACATACTTGTACATAGCAAACCAGCTGGGGTCCGCTTATTTTCGTTCTGCTCGCTCCCATACTCTTTATTGATCAGGCATATCACTTTTATGAGGTCTCTTGTCACATAGAGCGTGAAAATAATTTGTTATAGTTGCTATAAATAGTAAATTTGATTTTCAATTTAAGTTAATATGTAATTCTTTAATTGAATTTACAGTCAAATATGGCAACTCTAGGAAGTTTTGACGATTAAAAAAAGAGTCACAATATGTCCATTAAAAGCATAATGCTTTTATAATCAAATAACAAAGAGTAAATTAGAATGTAGATTAGAAATGATAGTCTCACATATAGATACAGCGTTAAAAATATCCGACTCGAGTAGAAACTTTTGACCCAGATGATGATTATCGTGCCGAGCTTGAAGAACATTGTATAACAACAAAAGCTCATTTAAAGTCCGTTATAAAGTCATTAAGACCTGCAAATGCAATCATCTGATCTCATGTCTCTCTGGTGAAGCTCTAGGCACTGTTAGAGCTTTTCAAGTTACCGATGACAATTATTTGAAAGCATTAGACAGCCTAAAGAGATTATACGACAAAGAATGTCTAATATTGAATGAAAATATTTCGGCTCTCATTAGCCTGCAAAAAAAACGCATCCATCTTCGGCATCATTGAGATCAATGATTGATAATGTCTCCGCCATCTATGGCTCGCTCCTGTCAATAGGTGATGACAAAAAGATTTCTAACGCGATTCTCATTTACCTCGTTACGAACAAAGTTGACCCAATCACCAGATAAAAATGGGAAGAGCAACTCGATTATGCAATCATTTCAGTATGGAGTGATTGCGAAACAGCCTTGAATCGTAGGTATCAAGACCATTCTGCTATGAATCATCCCAATTTTCGTCCATAATCGAGGTTCGTTTTCGTGTTCTGTGGTTGGTGTAGAAACGATCAGGGGACCCCCAAATGTTTATATTGCGGTTCCGAAGGCCATTCGATACTGAATTGCTTAGCATACGCCGCATTATCAGTCCAGCAGCGGTTTGATTTCGCTAAGGCGGCTTCTTTAAGCATCAATTGCCGTCGGAAGGAGCACACTGTTGCCAGATGTAAGACAACAAAAGCATAAGACACTGTTGCATAGATACTCTGCCGTTTCCAACTCTCGAGCGTTACCACCACCCCTTGACGTCGCACATGATCAATTATCGACTTAAAAATTTGGTCATTGGAAGGTGACCAAAACAGTCCGAGCAGCTCAATAGCACTTATGTAAGAGCCACTTTCTAGATATTTTGGAAATGTAACTAACGGCACTGCGCCAGCCCCTTTTTTGGCAAAACGGTGTTTAACAAAGCTTAGTAAGATGAGCGAGTTATCACACCCTAAAGCTGCTGACGTTATCAGGCACGACTTTTATGTCGATGATTTACTGACTGGTGCTGCATGCGTAGAGAACCTTTAGACGATTAAATCTGATGTGTCGCAAATACTTCAAAGCGCAGGTTTCGAACTAACCAAAATGGTTTTCGAATTTTCCTAAGTTCTCCGCAACAAACAAACGATCTCAGAGTCTAAAACAACCAAAACACTTGGCGTGACGTGGTTGCCGAATGAAGATACTTTTCAATTCAAGCTAGATGATTCTTTCACCGCGTCTGATCGACTCTTCTCTAAGAGCTCTTCTCCAAGAGCTCTGGCTGCAAAAGTTAGACTGGGATGGATCTATCCCTCAGAGTTTCGATTATTCATTGCAACTTCAACTTTGATTCAGTTGCAAAGAATAAAGATACCACAATGTGTGTTTACTGAGTCCACTTTGCCGATCGACATACAGGGTTTCGCCGACGCTTCAATAAGAACGTAAGGAACGTAAGGAATAAGCACTAAAATGGCTGATTTCGACGAATGGGTTTATCGACCTACCCTAAACATGCACTTATATATCCCTAAAAGCTCTGCCTTGCCTGATGTAAAGTCTTATTCAAGATGTCTAGCTGACAAGCTAAGGCTCCTGGGAGAGTGTACATATTCAAGGGAGACTTTTTTTTGTCGAGTATGTTCGTTATCTCTCAGACCAATTTTTGTCAAATTCGTTGGCTATATCAAAACGAGAGGTTATAAAACTGTTGTTTGACTTAATGCATTTTAGGGGCTGGGATTCCCATAAGTGATGTTATGTCAGACCAAATTTGATTGGTTTTCACTGAGGTGTAATGTAGGATGTGAAAGTACCAAAGCTCTCCCTTTTGGCGTCGTTAACATATTAACAGCACGCTTGAAGAAATTATTCGATCTTTTGTAGGCTATGAGATAAGCTTCGGTCATGTTATGCTTATAAGCTTGCCAGAGGCTTGGTCTGTTAATTGCAATATTGGTGGCAAATCGGGAAGCTTTCGATATTTTTGGGTGACTTGGAGTATGGTGTCTGCATTGATCGAAATTGGAGAGTGTTTTTCATAAAAAGAACTAAACAATTTGCTGATTCAATTTTGTATTTTAAAAAGAAGTTGGTTTTTTTTTTCGAAATTGACTTGTTGTAGTCATTGAGTCTCTATTGGGAAATTGTCACTGGCTTGTAGATCAGACCGAACCTCCCATTTGCAAAGTGGGTGAAGGGTGGAAGAAATAAAAGTGAGGTCGATATGTGAGAACGTTCTATGGGTGAAAAAGTGCGTTGCGGTGACATCTTTTAAAAAGAGATAAGTTGGATGCAGAAACTGCTCGGATTATTTGTTTTCCTCTGGAGTTGGTGCGATTTAAGCCCCAAGCGAAACCCCAAGAATTGATATCACCGGTCAGCATTAGTGGTACATTGAAAGCATTTATTGTTGTAAAAAATTTGTTGCCAGAAAATGATTGATCTGGTGGAAAGTAGTTGTTGAGTATGGTCAGTTTTTGGTCAAAGTTTAACTGAATAGCCAAACGCAGGATATTTGAGCTAGTTATGTTCGGAAGTAAGGAGTGCGGCAGGTGTCTTTTGACAAGGATCCCAATTCCTTGCTTAGCATTGAGATTATTCGGTAAGCTGGTAAAGTAACCAAAGTATTGCTTCTGACAAATTATGCTTTAAGTGTTGTAAGGTAAATGCGTATCCAGAAGACATAAAATAGCTCGACTTTAGCTATTGATCAAGATAGTTACTTCATCGAAATTATTTATGTAGACTTGTACGTATTTGCTTGTGAGATTGTGGATTTTTGTAGATTAATTTGATGGATTGGGAGAAGGGCTGGGTTTTGAGAGGGTGGAGAGGGAGGAGAGGGAAGTAGAACGCGGAAAGGTGGATTGAGACGATTTTTTTTTGTAACTGAGTCGCCAGACGAGAAACAATTGTCAGCGCCGCCAGCAAAATTGGTCTTATCAGTAGTTCGGTTGTTGTTGTTTTTGTTAATTTTACTGTTAACGTTTTGGCTGTTTTCTGCGACTGCGATGTAGCTCACCGAGCTGGAGAGCTTTGGTAATGAAACTTTGTAATAATTTTTCGCTTCAAGCACTGTGCAGGTTTTTTTATTTTATTTTTTTTTTTATTATTTCTTTTTGCTGAATAAATACACTATCGGACAGAGGACTGAAACGATTGTGCCTACCATGGTACTTTGCTAGTAGACACGTGCGAAAGAAACAGTTCGTTGTGTAGTGTGGGCACAAAAGGCACAAGAGAAGATCAAAGCGAAGAGGGAAAATGAATAAATAATATCACGATTGATTAGCAACTGACTTTTGCTCGCGATGGGTGTTAGTCGGCGTCTGACAGCTAATTTAGTATAGCCATATCCTTTTGTCTGTTTCTATGCAAACTATTCTATGTTTTGAAGCTATTGTCATGAAACTTTTCATTAGTGCCATCTTCCTATTGCAGGCATTACGTGTCGGAACCAGTCGGATCAAACCCCTGTATCATACAGCTGCCATAGAAACGATCGCTCGAAAATTAAATTCTTTTATGAAAAGCTTGTTTGTTTATGCAAATATGTTGAACAAACTCGACATCTAATAGGGTCACTATGATCCTTACATATAAAACCAGACCTATCAACCGCGGGCAATGTTGTTATGTAGCTATTTGGGAAGAAACTGACAACAATTTTTTTTTTACCAAAAAGCAATTTCTCTTTTAAAAAAAAAAACTCAGCAATTATTAGCTTTACTATTCTCCTCACATATTACTGTGGGTACTGCCAAAAAATTTTACTTTTTTCTAACACTGACATATACTTGTATGCATATCAAGTCATTAGCTTCTATAGCGGCCAAAAAAATTTTCTACCAAACAAAATATTTTCATGTTTAAATCTATAAATCAATCTCTTTTTGTCTGAAGAATTTTAATTAGTGCGCCATTTCTATCGATCTCACCACTAGGTATGCACGTTTTTTGTGCCCTGAGCCCACTGAATATTATTACCCTTTGTAATACAATGGTTTATACCCTTTGTAATACAATGGGTTTATGCAAATGTATGTATCAGGCAGAAGGAAGCATCTCCGATTGCCAAGTTGATCTAACTTGCCCCGTTTCCAAGTAATCGATAAAATCGAGATCTGTTTTGAGTATATCTCTTAGGTTTAAAGAACTAGAAGCACCAATAAAGTTTTGAATAGTTTTACTTGTTCTGTACTGTCAATTGACAGAGAAGCTGATTCTTACATGATTGTCCTCTATTTACCCAAACTTTTGATCGAATGGGGATTCCAGACTTATTGGCCCAAGCGATATTGACTTTCAACCAGAAAAGTCTCTCTTATGTAGTTAATACAAATTTTTTAGCCATTCTCCGCTCTTTTAAGTTTTATGCTTTTTACGCGCATGACAAAAGTCTAATATCATATAAAAGATTAGTCTTTTAGCTGCAGTGCAGTGAAGTTTCTCATTGAGCGTTGTATGGGACACATGCAGAAATACGTCTGTGATAAGAGTTATGCATTTTTAACCTCATTCCAGGAATGAGCCATATGCTTTGGACGTTGTTATCCTGTGTTAGGAGAATATTCAACCTGTCGTCTGCCCAAATTCCATAATGCATTTTTTATAATTTGGGGATAAGGCAAGCAGTATAGATGTTGCGCAATCTATGCGAATGTTCCTAATATATCTGGAAACAATTAAGAGGCTCTAGTCGGGAGCTCCCGACTAGGGGATACCCTTTTTCTACTAACATCAAATGCAGCTCGCGCTACGCGCTCGTTTGCTTTAGCAGTAATAAAAAACAAAACAATCGCAATTGCAATGCTGTAGATAGAATTCAATAAGGACGCGTATGAAAGTATGTGTTTGCATTTATACAGAAATTCTTTCAATTGCGATAACTACTGCAAACACATGTTTTCTTTAATAACTTTTGCGTTTCTTAACCAATGTCGGAACAATTCTTTTTGTATATGAAAATTATCTTATATATTTATGTAAAAGGTATATTATGAGATAAATAACAAAATAATTCTTTTCTTGTTTCAGGAGATTTTGATAGCTAACGAAAAATTAGGATTTAGAGGATTTCGCAAACAATTCAGTGGACGGTTTAAGCGCTTAGTTGCTCGAAAACTGGAACCTGCACCAGTGATACCTCCAGAACTAAAACCGCAACTAAAATCAATATATGTCTATTAAGAATAAAATAATTTGTGTAAATATTTATGCATATACTTAGTTTATGTGATAGAACTGGGGACAGCCAAGTAATAATTATCTTAAACTAAAAAAAGAAAGTGTACAGATTAACTGTTTAATAATAAAATACATACAATTCTTTAAGAGTGAAGCAGAGTATATTGGTTTTGGTCAATGACCGTTTCTCTGTCTGTATCAGCATAAATTTTTTTCGATGATGTTGAGAGTCGGGATGCCTTTTTTGCTTATAACCTTACAAAATAAAACCAATGTACCTTTTTACTATATTTTTAATGAGTTTGGAAACGGGACGGATTATCGAAAAAAACATGTTTTGCGTATAGTCTAGGATATATTTAAAAATTCTTGTCTCTCGCTTTTATAGTTTCCGGGATCGATTTATACCAAAACTACGCCGGGACAAGCTGTTGAATATTTAACATAACCCTGATAGGCTCGTGTCGAAGAATTGCCTATTGAACCCTTTTTACATGTTTTCATAGTATGTATAATGTTGACGAGAATATCTATGACATCAACGGCTTTGGTGGAACGGTAGCCATTATTTTTATTTATGTCCTCTAAAGTTGGTAAACACTATATTGGAACTTGCATGTTAATCGTATGAAGGTTGCCAGCATGCTCTACAAGCGCCGACACTATCGATCTAACCGCTCGCTATGCACGTTGTCTGAGAACGAAATATTCAAGACTTATTGGAAAGGAAATTTTGAACATAAGCCTTGTCTTCTGAATACATGGTAGCCCTGAAAGAAGCTTAAGCTGGCCAACACAGAGAAGCTCATAAAAAAGCTAGCGTTTAAGCAGCAAGTTCACGAGTTGTGTCTTGAATAAAGAAGCATTTGCAAGTCGTATGTTAACGTATGTTTTTGTAGTGTTATAGTAAATCTCGGTTGACTATCAGTTATGGTAGGCGCTAGCAGGGCTCTGAGTACTCAGAAATTTGGGACTGTAACGTAGTATTGACCATATTTCCTTCTGTGTCAAAACAAGAATCTCCAAGACCAGACTGAAGACTTGTGCTTCTTTAATTAAATCTGGTGAGCAAGGCGAGACGAAGCTGAGAACCGTAATCCAAAAAGGTACGACAAGCTATCAATGTGCCGGAGCGATTTTTGACGAAAATCATAGCAGTAGTAAGCTCGACAACCTCACTGCTGAAATACTGAGCATCGAGAAGCATGGGCAATTGACGATGAATCAGCAGACGCAGTAAGCAGGCCCGAAGACAAAGTAAAATTATTTAATAGCTTAAAAGCTTCCACGATGGTATCAAGATGACGAACGACGAGTTTTCCCACTTTGCCTGTAATGTTCGGTGCAGCTTTTGCAGAATAATCTGCACAACGATCCACCTGCTAACCTCTCGAACTCCAAAATCTTAAGTATGAGAGCTTGAAAAAGTAAACTTCTTTCCAATAAATTAAGTGATATGGTTTGTTGTTTCCAGTGATCGAATTGCGTCCAGCGCTGAATCTGCTAAATCAGGATGATTTTCTATGACGGTTGTTAATATAGAATTAAAGTCGTTTCAGTGTATCCACCACGAAACGTAGGCAATTTAAATAAGGGTGATGCCGCCCGTGCCTCGCGCTAACTGTCTGCACGGGCAGCTCAGATTGCGAAATAATGAGGGCAATATTGAAGCGCTGCGCTTAGCAGCAGTGAAATCTACGAACCGATATTTGGAATGAAACAGCTAAGTCCTAGAGTAGTTTCAAATGAAGTCTGCAGCCGCTTGATCTACTTCAGACTTCCACTAAGACCGCATTCATCAAGAGACGTATAAGTGAGAACATTGTGTTGTTTTTGCAAACTTTCATAAATTTGCGCTCAATAAAAATCACTCTAGTAAAACATAAAATAACAGCAAAAGAAGTTCACGTCGGGGTCACTAAATGCTGCGCTATAGAGCTTTTTTAATAGCTTTACGACGTCGCTCCAGCTGTTTCGGCTGCGCAACCAGACAAGTATATATTGGGTCGTTCACTAAGTATTTCGTTTTTTTTTAGTGCAATTTAAACACGACTTTTTTATTGTGTAAAACATTTTATGAAATTATATATTCTCCATTTTGATCCAATACCTTTTTCCATGTTTCGGGCAAGAGATTATTTCCACGCTCATATAATTTTTGATCTTTGCAGACAAAACAAATGGTCCAAATAGTTTTTGACTTCCTAATTAGAGGTTAAGGTTCTCCTATCCAAAAATTTTTGCAGAGACCGGAACAAGTGATAGTCCGAAGGTGCCAAGTCTGGAGTATATGGCGGGTGTGGTAGCACATCCCACTCAAGCTGCAAAAGCTTTTGGCGAGTCATCAAACTTGTATGAGGTCTTGCATTATCCTGGTGGAATACTACTTATTTTCTTTCAATTTGTCCAGGTGATCACAAGACACTTCAGAATTAATCGTGGTATTGTCGGGCAAAAGCTCAAAATAAACGATTTCTTTGCAATCCTTTGTTTGGGTTTTCGTTTTTTTGTTTGTTTTTTGGTTAAGCTCCCCTTGTTTAGGTGGTGTTCCCAGCATTCTGGTAGAGGAATGAGTGACATTAAGATTATGATTAAGGCGGACTCCCACCAATCTCATGAGCGTTCCAGCTTCCAATTCTTATCCCCCAGCCAGCTGCTAGGAAAATTCCACATGTTGCAGACAAGGTCCGTAATAAATTTAGTGGCCAACCTAGACCTTGGACCGCGAGGAGCGGAGTCGCATCGCCACCGATTGCATGTCTAGACCATAGTGTTATGAGCGGTGCGGACAGCGGGTGGGCACCAAAATCCATAACGATTCCCGCGCACCGTTGGCATAGGCTTTTGCGGAAGACCAATCGAATAATGAGACTAGATAGCGGGGCAGGGTGTGATCTGCAAAGGTCATGTCACAGGTGGACGTAAAAGGGACATTATGCTACGGAGTGTTCCGTTCGAGTTTTGTTGGTAATGTGGGAATAACGAGAAAAGTAACTAGGATTGCTGTCGTTGCTCAGGGGCGGAAACCGACAGCGGCATCCCCCAAGCTGGAAACAGATCCAGTTCGACTCGCCAGTGACTGGGTAGTTGAGTTCCCCTTGTTGGTAAACGGGAGCCGAATCGATGCTACAATAACGACTAGCGGACAGATAATGCTCTATACAGTAGACATTGAAGCAACACGCAGCTTCATGAGCGCGGACTGTGTGCGCAAGTGGGTGATTCGGGGAAGGTGCACGATGTGCATTCGTCGTGGCAGGAAGGGTTCTTGCATGTCGATGCTCAATGTTCCCTTTATGGTGCACCCTATCATCCTGAGTAATAATTTTCTTTGTCTAATGGGCACGACGATAAATTGCGGGAATGCTGAGCCGGACCTAGAAACAGTCACGGTACCGGTCACAGGTCTGGGGTACTAGCTACTGATTAGAAGCTGAGTGGCAGAATGGAGGGGTCATAACCACTTTCATGAACCAACGGCTATATCTTAAGTCGATTTGGTCGCCCATGCAAGAGTACAGTCAACGCGAATTACATATAGCGGATCTGGAACAGAAATTGAAGGAGTTCCAGGAATCAGAAGTATCACATTTTGCAGGTCTTACCCGTGTACTGCTGTGTTACCGCCAGGGTTATCGTTTCGACGTGATCTCGGATTACCTGGCTGAACTCAATTGAGAGCCCTTCTGGTAGGATGCGCAATGGGCATTGGTGTTCCAATGTTGTTACAGCAGTTCCAGTTCGACGCCTAGCACAGCTCAATATTATATCCTCCAAGGATGTGTCAACAAGCTGGGGTGGCCGATTCCCCTGCAATAGGGTAACCACGCTAGAATTGCCCTAGAATCTGCTTACTTCTACATGTCGAGGAGAACTTAAAAGACAAGAGTGTTGCGCTGCTCCCTCTGTCAGACCTCATGGCGTGAGAAAGACGTCGTCTAAATTGGCACAGAGGAATGCTTCGTTTCTTCAAAAATTCAAGAGCGAAAAGGTTCGAGTTAACTGGTCGTATGTTTACGCGACAGGTCGCGGAACCTTAGGAGGTGTTGTGGGCCGATTTTGAGGGTGGCCTAGAGCGATCGAAGTAGGATGCGTTCTCCAAGTGATGGAATAGGTGACCTTAGGAGCAACAGCGGCGCAATTATAGGCAGAGATTTTTGACATAGTTCACGGCAATTTTCAGCGTTTCCTCAAAGCACCAAGAGATCGTTGAGCTTGTTGGGGGAGAACGGAGCACTTCAATGATGCAGAGAGTTTTTCTCCAAAGTTGGCACCCAAAAATCGACGGAGCACGGCTACCAATGTTTGTTGTTGGTTATTTCACAAATTTTTTTACTTAGAGTAATGTCTGACATAAGACAATATAAACACTAATATGAGTAACGCCATACAACAAAATGATACTATGCAGGTCGATTTTTGAAAATTTCTTTGGAAGAAAAATCAAAGATTAAAGCATACTTCGATTCTGGACAATTCTTCCATAAAATTGCTGAAAAAACGGGCAGACACAGAACAATGATTTCCAGTTTTCTTCGGAACAAAAAACGGAGGGTCAAATAACGGAAGTCAGCTGAAAACAGTTTTATTGAAAAAATAGCAAAATATCGTAGCGAAAACGACCAGAAAATTGGTTCATTCTATGCCAAAACGATTAGAGGCTGTTATAAAACAGAAAGGTTTGCCTACCAAATATTAGTTAAGTTTCATATATAATCTTTTTAAGTTTTATAATTATGTGTGCCAATACTTTTGTGCTAGAAAAATGTTCTATTTTTTATTTATAAATTAAAATTACCGTTATGTTTTTGTTAAAAACTTGTAACTGGTTTTTGTAGAAAATGAAATGGTTTGTTTATACAGGAAAATTAGTTTGGATAGATTTTTGTTACCAAAAACGGACGACCAATAGGTGCAAAGTAGAAAATGCTTACTCTATGCTTCATGGGGTCGGAGATGTCTCCGTCTATGCGTTACACATATCACGAAAAAATTATAATACCCTCTGCAAGGGTATAAAACCACTATCATTGATCAGATATTTTGGAAAAATATAATTATCGCGGGGGGCGCTATCCTGATGACCAAATTATCATTACGTTTTTTTGATGTAGTTTAACTTAAAAATTAATTATAATATTATCTTG